AGCCTGACGCAGGGCTCAAACCCACGAACCGTGAGATCATGACCTGACCAAAATGGGTTGCCTAACCAACTGAGCCACCCAGGCACCCCACCCCTTGTTTGTTTTTGGGTTTTTTTTTTGTTGTTGTTGTTTTTATTATTTTTTAAATTTGCATCCAAATTAGCATATAGTGCAATAATTATTTTAGGAGTAGATTCCTTAATGCCCCTTACCCATTTAGCCTATCCCTCTTCCCACAATCCCTCCAGTAACCCTCAGTTTGTTCTCCATATTTCTGAGTCTCTTCTGTTTTGTCCCCCTCCTTGTTTTTATATTATTTTTGTTTTCCTTCCCTTATGTTCATCTGTTTTGTCTCTTAAAGTCCTCATATGAGTGAAGTCATATGATTGTTGTCTTTCTCTGCCTAATTTCTCCTAGCATAATACCCTCCAGTTCCATCCACATAGTTACAAATGGCAACCCCTTGTTTGTTTTTAATGAACACTCCCAGATTGTTGCAAGCTTTTGGGTAAATATCAGAGTTATGTAAAAGTTGAATGTGACCATTTTGCCAGTTTCTTGTTGCTTTCTGGAGGAGAGAACTTTCAGAGGTCCTTACTCTGCTATTTTTGCTCATGTCACCTGAATAAGGAGTTGGAATAGGCATATTTTGTGCATATGGGAACCACGTGCCTCAAATAGCATGGTGTTCTTTTAAAAATTAGGCTTATGGAATCTAAGAATAATAATGTAGCCCACTTACTAGTTAAGCTCCTATGGAAACACACATATTTTTCCACCACCTTCTTCTCCTCCCTAAACTTGCTTTAGTTGTAGAGACTATAAAAGTGAATGAATGAATAAATAAGTGAATCAATCAACCAGTCAATCAATCAAATTTGTGACTCCTCAGAGGGTCCAGTTCAGGGGCTTAAACACAATGAATATTCAAGGAATGATGCTGAATCAAAATATATAGGCTCAAAATAGGCAAAGTTGACCAAATCTGTATTATATTTTATCCTACACATAACAGTAGCAAGTCTGTAGCTTTATATTTATCTCATATGCACTTGTGGCTCCTATATTGAAGATTTCCCACTTCCTTTAATGTTTATGGGATATATCTTAGTTTGAGTGGAAAATGAGCACTATCATATAGTTTTAGCAGTGAATTCTTTCCATTAAAGACAGGGGAAAAAGGACAAAGGAGGGATGGAAGAAAGTAGGGAGGAGAAAGGAAGATACCCCTGTCCCTTTGTCATGGTGGTGGCCATTGACAAATTTTGAAAGTATTTGACTAATACCTAGCAGAGGTAATTCTTTTCCATCAGAAAACTTATAACTAGCTCAATTGAGGGACATTAGTTAAAGAAGCTTGTCTGGAAATAATCTGAAAAGATCCTTGTGTCTCATGTCTTCCTTAATTTGTTATAATGAATGAGTCATAATATTTTAAGAGGATTAGAGCTGCTTATAATGAGTGCTACATTTAAGGGACTAAAGAAGCTTTAGTAACAATATAATATAATGTGATTATGGTACAACATAATATGATGGGACAAGATAATATGATTCTTTCACTTCCTGTTTTCACTTGCAAATTACAAAAAAAAAAACAACCAACAAAGCAGCTTTTTCTTTCATTCTTTGTTAGAGAAGAAAATGTGAAGGTTAAATAGTATCTGGCTATGTATACTCACACACTCACACAAATACTGTGTTAACTCAATTTTAAATATGGGTAATAAATTTGGTGTAATAAATCATTTTATCTCTTTACTTCTCTAAGACTCTCCTTTATTAATAATGAATATAAAAGCAGGCCTTCAATGGCTTTCTAGCAAAGGTAGTGCATATCTTAAAAAATTACTTTACCTGTATTAATACTTAAAATCATCGAATTAAAAGCAAACTGTGTTATTTTCCTCAGTTCTTGTGACATTAAGTCACAAGACTCAAATTTGAAAAACACTGAAAAATAGGAAAGTTCTTCAAGACATCAGGCCTGGTCTGTTTAGTCTTTGTCAAGGAAAAACAAATAGAAAGATAGTTCCATGTTAAAAGAGAAAAGAGGGGCGTCTGGCTGGCTCAGTCAGTTAAGTGTCTGACTCTTGATTTGGGTCCAGGTCATGATCTCATGGTTTGTGAGTTTGAGCCCCGAGTTGGGCTCTACGCTGACAGTGCAGGGCCTGCTTGGGATTCTGTCTCTCACCCTCTCTCTGCGCCCCCCCCTACTCTCTCAAAATAAATAAATAAACTTTAAAGAAAATGGGGGAAAAAGATCGAAACAAAGTAATCTGTGACCATTGATGAAACATTTTTTTTTATGTTTATCTTTTTGGGTTTGTTTATTTATTTATTTTGAGAGAGAGAGAGAGAGCACAAGCAGTGGAGGGGCAGAGAGAGAGAAAATCCCAAGAAGGATCCCAAGCAGGCTCCAACTGTCGGTGCGGGACCTCACATGGGGCTCAGACCCACCAACGGTGAGATCATGACCTGAGCCGAAACCAAGAGTCAGATGCAGGTGTTCTTATCTTTTTTTTTTTTTTTTTTTTAATTGGGGTATACTTATGGCACAGTCTAGGTCCCCTTTCCAGGTAAAATGTTGCCCTAGCTCCTGGGGAGCCATCAAAAAACAACGTCCAAAAAAAAAAAAAAAAAAAAAAAAAGAAACAGCGTCCAATTAGCAGCCCTTCAGGGACTGCTGTTACTACACAGAGTTCCCTTCCCAGGGCCACGCCCTTCTAGAGTGGCTCACCTCCAGTGATGGCTGAAATGGAAGTAGGAAGCCCTGGCCATCATGCCCCAGTGGGGGATAATTCTTACGGGTCCATTTTAGCTTCCCAGGTCCACCTATGGAGACGGTCCTACTTTTGCAGCTCAATTTCTCCCCCTGCCCAGTTGTCTCCCCACCTTCTACACACAGGAATGGATCCTAAGGGCACAGCCTCATATCCGATCATTAAGCTGTCCCTGAGTCTTCTTTTAGAAGAACCCAAACTATGACACATGATAGACATCAGACAACTTCCAAATAAGGAACTTTTTTTTTTTTTATGTTCTGTTTTCTTCAAAAATGTCAGTGTCATCAAAGACAAAGAAAAGCTATGGAAATGTTCCAGATTAAAAGACTAAAGAGACATGGCAAGTAAATGTAACATCTGACGCTGACTGCATCCTATACTAGAAAAAAATAAAAGGCCCAAAAGAACATTATTGGATCAATTGACAGAACTGGAACATGGATTAGAGGTTGGCTGACAGTATTGCATCAACTTACATTTCCTCTAATTATTAAGTACGCAATGGTTATGTGGAAGAATGTCCTTGTTCTTAGGAAATAGACACTAAAATATATAGGTAGGGGCACCTGGATGGCTCAGTTAACTGTCTGACTTCGGCTCAGGTCATGATCTCGCAGTTCGTGAGTTCTAGCCCCACATAGGACAGCCCGCTTCAGATCCTCTGATTCCCTCTCCCTCTCTCTCTCTCTCAAAAACAAATAAACATTAAAATATATATATATATATGAGGAGAAGGGGGCATGAGTTGTGCAACTTCCTCTCAGGAAAACTACATGGACGCATACACAGAATACAAAAACAAATGGAGCAAAATTTTAACAATAGGTAAAAGGGATTTGAAAGAATTCTTTGCCTTCTTCTTGCAAGTTTTTTGCAAGCTTGAAACTATCTTCAAATAATACATTTAAAATACATAAATAATTATAGGTCAACCAGATACAGCAAAATGTTAGTCATCGATCTAGATTATAAGTATGTAATTGTTCTCTGCACATTCATTCCTTCAACTTCTCTGAATGTTTGAAATTTGTCATCATAAAAAATTGGAAAAATACACAGGCAAGGATATTTGTTATGGCTCAAGTATTTAAGGCTTGCAAGACTATACTTCTTGGAGCATGATGTACTGATTTCAGATAGGAGCCACAAATTGAATGGTTAATTTATCTATGATTAAATGAGAGAATACATATCAGCATGCCAATTAGACGCCCTTGTCTAAGGTAGCGCTCTTTAAAAATTTTTTGTCAGTGTTTATTTATTTTTGAGAGACAGAGAGAGACAGAGTGTGAGCAGGGGAGGGGCAGAGAGAGACACACACACAGAAGCTGAAACAGGCTCCCGGCCCTGAGCTGTCAGCACAGAGCCTGGCTCAGGGCTCAAACTCACGAGCCTTGAGATCATGACCTGAGTCGAAGCAGGCACTCAACCGACTGAGCCACCCAAGCACCCCTAAAGTAGCACTCTTTAAATCATTATTTACCTCCTCACTCAGGGAAACCCCATTAGATATACGGTGTAAGCTCTGAGTCCCAAAACTCTTTTTTTTCTTTTTTCAGTTTATTTATGTATTTTGAGAGAGACAGAGAGAGCACAAGTGGGGGAAGGACAGAGAGAGAGAGGGAGAGAGAGAGAGAGAGAGAGAATCCCAAGCAGGCCCCAAACGGTCAGCTCAGAACCTGATGCAGGGCTCAAGCCCACAAAACCATCAGATCAGGACCTGAGCTGAAGCCAAGGGTCAGACACTCAACTGACTGAGCCACCCAGGCACCCCAAAACTGTCTTTTTAAATTCTCCGCTATATCCTTAGTTGCAAGAACAATTCCCAGAACATGGAATAGGCCCAATAAATATCTGTGGAAAGAACGAGTGAGGAAGAGCTTAAATAAAGATGATTTTGGTATAGTTAAATAATTATACCTACTAACCATGAACTCCTGTCATTATGGTCAACATGAAATTTGGCTTTACTTGTTTGGCTTACTTTCTCTTTCTTATTACAGGTTGGGAGAATCAGAATTCTGGAATTGTTTCAGCAACCCAGTAGTTTATCTGGATAAAGCTGAGCCAGGGAAGCTTGAGGTAGTGCTGCTGGGCTCCAGGAGGGAGCAGCAGATCCTTCAGGAAGCAAGCCCGTTGGCAGATTAAGTGTATACAGTGGCCTTGAGGAACGAGGTGCAGCTGCTCCTGGGGGCCTCGGAGGGAAGGACTCACCACACAGGACAGAGCCGACTTGAATCCCGGAGAACTGATGCTCCACCACGCGTGGAGGAACGAAGTCAGCCAGCTACAGGAAGCCACGCGTCGGAGAAGATAGCTTAGTTCTTAAGCAAAGCATCGACACTCACTCAGTAAGGCCAGAAATAAATAAAGCTGCGGGAGACGGCTCAGCCAGGAGTCAGAATGCAGAAATCAGGACTGGAGCAAGACCCGAGAGGAGCCTAAACAGATGTGGAAATAGAGTGCAGTAGCCTGGCAATCAGTTTCGTCTTATTTGGATGTTTGCCCACGTGGAGCTGGGTGGAAGTGTTAACCACAAAACAACAGCCTTCCCATGATCAAGACCTCCCAGCAAACCACTGGGGCTTGCTGATGGTGCTGGTGGCTAACGGGGGCTCAGTCCCAACTGGCAAGTGTCACCCTGAGACATAAGCTGCTGTTGTTTGAGGGCACCCTTTACATTTTACTTGACTGTACTATCCTTAACATTTCTACTCCCAGCTCAGAGTTGAGGCAAATTGACCAGAGTATAACCAAGAGCCTTTTTAATTTTTCGCCTTTATCCCCCTGCCCAGTACCCTCCCACCTCATTTTCAAATCTAGAAAGCTGATTGCTCCTTAGGCAACTTTTATTTAAAATAATTTGTTGGGGCGCCTGGGTGGCTCAGTCGGTTAAGTGTCCGACTTCAGCTCAGGTCATGATCTCATGGTTCATGAGCTCGAGCTCCACATTGGGCTCTGTGCTGACAGCTCAGAGCCTGGACCCTGCTTCGGCTTCCGTGTCTCCCTCTCTCTCTCTCTGCCCCTTTCCGCTCATGCTCTCTCTCTCTGTCTCTCTCTCTTAAAAGTAAATAAACATTGGGGCGCCTGGGTGGCTCAGTCGGTCAAGCATCCGGCTTTGGCCCAGGTCATGATCCCGTATTTCATGGGTTCGATCCCCATGTCGGGCTCTGTGCTGACCAGTTCAGAGCCTGGAGACCTGCTTCAGATTCTGTGTCTCCCTCTCTCTCTGCCCCTCCCCCACTCTGTCTCTCTGTCTCCCCAAATAAACATTAAAAAAAAGTAAATAAACATTAAAATAATTAATAACAATAATTTGTTTAAAATTATAATTAAATATAAAATTATTTGTTTCAATTTTGTAATTAAATTTAAAATTATTATTTTATATTGAATAATAAAAACGTATCCTTTTAACTAACAGACCCAGCAGATATGTAAAGTGTTTCCAGGGTGACATCTTATCATACTGCTTAAAAAAAATACACACACTCCTCAACCTCATGACACATTGGAGTGAGAATTAAAATCAGTACAGTGGTCTTAATACAGAACTATACCGTGAGACATGATTTGTGATATGTAGGTGTCCGGAAAAATACGATTTATGGCTGGGTTTTATTTCAGATACCTTACCCATTTACAGTGATAGTACCACATAATGTTTCTTCCATTTTCTTCTTCGATCTATTTCATTAGAAAATACTCAACCCGGGGCGCCTTGGTGGCTCAGTCGGTTGAGCGCCCGACTTCAGCTCAGGTCATGATCTCATACTCTGTGAGTTTGAGCCCCGCATCAGGCTCCGTGCTGACAGCTGGGAGCCTGGAGCCTGCTTCAGATTCTGTATCTCCCCCTCTCTCTGCCCCTCCCCTGCTCATGCTGTGTCTCTCTCTGTCTCAAAAATAAATAAAAACTTTAAAAAAAAAAAAAAAGAAAAGAACCTAGTGACACCTGTGTGGCTCAGTTGGTTGAACGTCCGACTTGATTTCGGCTCAGGTGATGATCCTAGGGTCGTGAGATCGAGCCTGGCATTGGGCTCTGCACTGAGCATGGAACCGGCTTGAGATTCTCTTTCTCTCCCCCTGTGCCAAGTGTCTTCCCCTCACACACTCTCTCTCAAAAGAAAAGTAAATGCTCAGCCCACTGGCCTGAAAGAGGACTTTACTAAAGAAGTCGCCGGTGTGTCCAAAAGCTAAGTTACTGGAGGAGGAGTTATAACTCCAAAAGCAGACTAAGTTAGTGTACCAGCAAAGCAAAGGCTTCACTTCCGTGGATTAATGTACAATTTTGCAGTAAGAAAATTCTGGGAAAAAAAAAAAAACTATTTTAATTTTATTACAAAATTTATGAGTTTTAGTTTAGTATTTATTTATTTTTTTTAACGTTTATTTATTTTGGGGACAGAGAGAGACAGAGCATGAATGGGGGAGGGGCAGAGAGAGGGAGACACAGAATCCGAAGCAGGCTCCAGGCTCTGAGCCATCAGCCCAGAGCCTGACGTGGGGCTCGAACTCACGGACCGCGAGATCGTGACCTGAGCTGAAGTCGGACGCTTAACCGACTGAGCCACCCAGGCGCCCCATATTTTTTATGTTGAATTACATATGAGGAAATGTCCTAATTTCTTTAGGATTTAGGGCCTGTCAGCAGCAATTGTGAGAGACATTGAAAGGGGAAGAAAGATTCTCAGCGTCTTTCCTATCTGGTGTGTCTTCTCAGCTTCTCTCTCCCTGTCGCTGTCTGAGCGACACATTGTCAACAGCTTAACACAAATGATCCTTGTCCGTAGAAATATGAATGAATTGTGTCTACTGGAATGCAGTTGATTATTGTCCTGTGAATTACTGACCAGTTTTGCCAGTTTTGCGACTGTTTCTAAATTCATGTCAACATTCCTGATGGCCTATATATGCGTGATACTTTGAATTCTCGTTTCAACCCATGGTAACATCTCACCGAGTCCATCATTCATTAATGAGTTAAAAAAAAACAACAACAACCTTGTGACACGTTAATTTTATGTGAGTCACGATTTACCTGTTTCAAAAATTCTCTTTTCATAGATCTTTAGTCCAAAAGTGTTGCTCCGACCTTGGGAGGACAATGAAGAAGGAGGAGGATGGAGGCGTGGTAAGGTTCTTAAAAAGTGTGTATGAAGTTTCTTTCCGGTCCACTCAATTTCCAGGACCTACATTTACCTTCCAGTCCTAGGATAATGATGGGACTAAACATCAAGGTCGGGAAGCACTTCCCCAGAGGGGGGGGGGGGGGCTCAGTGAATTCCAGGCAAGTGGGGAAGGGCTTCAGAGGAGAGAATTCTGATAGCACCCCAAGTGTGGCACTGCGGAGGCAAATTCTTTCTTTCGGGATCCCAGACTCTCTTCCCTGCACCCCTCTGTGTCCTCTTTAAAGACTGTGTATTAGAAGCCAAGTCCCTAATATGCCTGTTGGAATCGAGAGACCGAAAGCAAGATTAATAGAATTGCTTTGCACAGCCAGAACATTAACAGAGTATTCAAGTATGTGCAGCCTTCCTTTTATCTCTCTCTCTCTCTCTCTCTCTCACTTTTTTTTCCACAGACTGAGGCCACTTTAATCGCTGCTGCAGCTACTCAAACAGAGGAAGAGAGCCAAGCTCATGCTCTAGCCATCCCCAAACTCTAAATAAACTGGTGAGATGTGGCGCTTTGCCGGATCAACGCTGCAGTTTGAGAACACGGCAGGCCTTCGTTGGCCCGAGGACACTTACCTGGCTCACCATCGTGGGATGAAGAGAAGTCATAGCAGCCCCCAAAGACGCTCCGGTTATGCCTCATCTGTCACTGCCCTTGCCCCCCACTCTCCCTCGGGACATCTAAATATATCAAGGGTGTTTATGTAGAGTTGAATTCTGGTTCTATGTTTCCTTTCCAGTCTGTCTTCTTTCTCTGTCACCCTCATCTCTTCAGTTGTTAAACTTCCCTCTTTCCCACCAGGCCCTCTTCATCTTGTGCTTTGGTGAAATCCACAAACCATCATAAGCATTTCTGGGCAGTATTTTATGGTCGTTAAGGACTAGGGCCCTGGAGTCAGACAGACCCTGGTTTCAAATTGCAGTTCCACCTATTACCTACCTGTGTGGCCTCGCGAAGTTAGTCGAAAGTTCCAAGCCCCGATTTCTCCATCTGTAAAAGAGGGATCATAATAATATCTACTTGATTGGGTAGCTGTGGGGATGAAATGAGGCAATCACATGGAGCTCAGTGTCTGATACATAGTCATTTGTCACTATTATAATTGTTTTCCCTAGGTCTCCAGACCTCTAAATCCCATTTTTCCCTCTATTTCTAGTGTATGTCTATTTCCTATTGTCTTATTTGTAAGTACTATTTCACATTTGTTCCCAATCCAACGTAGAAACTGGTAAGGTTTAGGACATCCTACCCAACATACGGCACCTTGGTATATTAAATAGCTTAAGCTGAAGGAGTTTGAGAAACAGCAGCAGCAGAAAGGACTCTCTGACCTCCCTTGTCTCCCTTGAAGCAGGTCATAGGAGTCTCATGTGACAGATGCCCTCCATAGACCCTGAGGAAAGGGCATCCTTACCTCCAAGGAAGTAGGGACTCTGAGAAGGATCTGAGCAACAAACCTTGCCATGTTTCCCCCACTTTACTCTCTCCACTCACAACCCTTCGTCTTAACACATTTTCAGAAGTTCTCATTTTTGGTCAGGATAAAAACACTCCAGTATAACGGTTTCCTCAGGTCTTCATTTCCTTATGAAGGCTCCCGAGCCATGCCAAACTTGTATTAAGCAATCTGTATGTTTTTCTCTCGATATTCTGTCTTTTGTCGCAGGGACCCCAGTTGAGAATTTAGAAGGGGAGGAGGAAAAGATATTTTTTCCTCCCCGATAATGGCAAATCAAAGACAGTGGTCACACATACCACATCTTTTTTTTTTTTTTTTTTTTTTTTAATTATTACAGCCAACTTCAGTTTCTTCATCTGTGATCTGGGGAGAAACCCCATCAAGAGACCATTGCTGGGTTGTTTAAACAATATTAACAAGATACTTTCTGTACAGATGTAGCTCTCACAAACATGGTGAACATTCCTAAAAACCCACCGGACTTTCTACAAGAAGTGTGGCAAGCACCAGCCCCACAAAGTGACACATTACAAGAAGGGCAAGGATTCTCTGTATGCCCAGCGAAAGCAGCATTATGACACGAAGCAGAGGCTAAGGTGGGCAGACTGATTTTTCAGAAAAAGGTTAAAATTACAAAGAAGTGCCGAGGCTTGAATGTGTTGATCTCAACTGTAGATCGAAGAGAATGCTGGCTATTAAGAGAAGCAAGCATTGAAAGTGATCTAGCTCTAAATGTCATATTTGTTTTATTATGAAGATGATATAATCTTGAGGTTATGTTCACTTAAAAAAAAAAAAAAGAGGGGCCCCAGGGTGGCCCAGTGGATTGAGCGTCTGACTCTTGATTTTGGCTCAGGTCACAATCCCAGGGTCATAGGGTCAAGCCCCGTGTCAGGCTCCTAGCTGAAAGTGCAGAGCCTGCTTGGGATTCTCTCTCTTCCTCTCTCTCTCTGCCCTTCCCCTGCTTATGCTCTGTCTCAAAATAAATAAACAAACATTAAAAAAAAGAAAAAAAAGAAGAAGAATGATAGGGGTGCCTGGCTAGCTCAGTGGGTAGAGAGCATGTGGCTTTTGATCTACAGATCATAAGTTCAAGCCCCACATTGGGTAAAGAG